AGGCTGGTTTCGAACTCCTGAGCTCAAACAATCCGCCCGCCTCGGCCTCCCAGAGTGCTAGGATTACAGGCGTGAGCCACCGCGCCCGGCCTGAAAGTCCGTATTCTTAACCACTATTGCCAAACTCTATCTTGAAAAGAAAACAAGTACAAGCTGTAGTTTTAACATTTTCAACTGCATATTACCATATTTTATCACGTCAGGCTATCATTATTCATAAAATATCCCCCATGATAAAGAACCTAAGACATTTTCAATATAATTATACAGACTATGAAAAATAACAAAACTTACATAGGGATTAGACAACAGTGATAAGAATCTCATCATATAAAATCAGAAGCTTATTCTGATTAAAAGATCTCAATAAGAACCTAAAATAACTTCCTCTTTCTGTACACACTTACCTTTCTCTTTGGTCTCATTTTTTTCACTCTTTTCACCATTGATCTATTGCGTAGGAAAAAAAATTTTTAAACTTTGATAGAAACAAAAAGTTCAACTTTAATACTTCATTTACTTCATTAAAATGGAAATCCTAAGACACGAAATATGCAGAGTACTGGCATTCCATAAAATTACAGATGAATAATAATGGCATTACCAGGTTACTTTGGCAGTAGACAACAGCTAAAATAAATAGCAACGTATCAGAATCAAAGGGCATTTCCTCAAAATTTTCTTCAATTAAAGATCAAATATAATTTAGAAGCACAAACCATACAGAAATTTAATTTAATTAGAAAGTACTTCTTAAAATGAAACAAAAATTCTGGCTATCCCATTCAGTGTCCTCCATTACATAACTAAAGGAAAATGAAGTAATACAAAATGCTACTTATGTAGCTTACATTTTCTAACCAAGACAGCATGGGATAATCCTGTTCTGTGGTCCCCAACCCCCAGCCCTGGACCAGTACAAGTCTGTGGCCTGATGGCACAGCAGGAGGGCTAGCTGAGGCTTCATCTGTATTTACAGCCACACCCCATGGCTGGCATCATCACCTGAGCACTGCCCCTGGCCCCTGGCCGTGGAAAAATTGTTTTCCATGAAATGGGTCCCTGGTGCCAAAAAGATTGGGGAATGCTGCTGTAAGGTATTAACTCATTTTATAGATGGGAAAACCAAGGAACCACTTGTACCTATTGATCAATTTTAGCATCACTAAAAATGAAAAAAGAAAAGAAATACATTATGTGCCTCCTAATTTGATACAATATGAAGTACACTGTATCATTTATGAAGCATTCTTGCCAAAAACCAAAAATTGAATCTGAATCTAATTAAGCTTTTAGGTCAAAAGTTCAGCCTACAGAAAATATGAGAAATAGAAAAACAAGTAAAATGACACAAAGAGGGAAGCAATTGGATAAACACAGAATATGGCTCATTTTCTAGTATAAAAAAAATCAAATGCATGAAACAAAAAATGAGAGGAAACATTTAAGCAGAGATTATTTTAGAGACTTGAGGGACACAGCAATCAAAAGACACTGAGTCTAACTTGTTTGGATCCTGATTCAAACAAATCAACTCTAAAAAATCATTTTAAGTGGAAAAATCTGAATATAGGGTATTAGGTTATCTAAGGGAATTATTTTTAATTTTATGAGATGGGCAAATAACGTTTTTAAGAAAATGACTTTTTGAGATGTATACTGACATATT